ACATGCTTTTACATCAATGAGAGGTGGTGTACAGATGTAACTGTGTTAAAGAAGATGTGCTGTCCCGATCTAGAAGTGCTCTTCATTAACTGTAAACCTTTCTACTCGCCACGGGAGTTTTGCTCGTTCATTCTCAGAAGTGTCTACATACCATCGAAAGCGCACGTGAGGCTGGCTTTACAGAAACTTGCTGATCAGATCACAGAGACAGAGCAACAACACCCAGACTCTTTATAATAAATAAAAAGAAAACAAGTAGAAAGAATAGAAAAAGAAAAAGGAATGCTAGTGTTAGAGGGTAATTTTTAAATAAAAATAAAACAATTCAATAGAACAGAAAAAGAACAGATGTCTTTTCTTCTTGTGCACCTTCTTGTGTTAGAAGGTCATTATTTATAATAAATAAAAAGAAAATAAGTGGAAAGAATAGAGAAAGAATAGAATGCTAGTGTTAGATGATCTTTTTTCTTTATAAATAAAACTATTATTTAGAATAGAAATAGAATAGAGAGTGCAAATGTTAGAGGGTCAAGTTTTTTAATTAAAAAAAACAAGCAGATAAAATTAGAAGTAGCATTAGAATAGAGAGTGCTAGAGTTAGAGGGTCAAATGAAGATGAAAGAGATGTGTTTTCAGCCGTTTCTTGAAAATATTAAGGACTCAGCTGCTTGGACTGAGCTAGGCAGGTCATTCCACCAGGAGGGAACAGTTAATGTAGAAGTCCATGAAAGTTTTATCATAGGTAGAATGCAAAATGTTTCAATACAAGCATTTCAGTCAAATGTAATTTATGCAATATTTGAAACTAGGGCTGCAACAACTAATCGATAAAATCGATTATTATCGATAAGGAAAATAATCGACAACGATTCTCATAGGTTTGAAAAAACACCCCACACCCGCTCTGAACACCTCTCCACACAATCATTAACACCTCCTGCAACCCCCCTCTCCCCCACACCTGCACTTCAGATCAGCGAAGATGATGTGTGCCAGGTCTTCCGGAAGCAGAAGAGAAAGAAAGCACCAGGCCCAAACAAAACCCAAAATTACAGGACAAAATGAATACAGGTCTGTGGCTCTAATGTCTGTGGTCATGAAATCATGAAAACTGGTGCTGGCCCACCTGAAGGACATTACTGGACCCTTGCTAGATCCTCTTCAGTTTGCCTACAGAGCAAACAGGTCTGTGGGCGATGCAGTCAATTTGGGACTGCATTATGTTCTGCAACATCTAGACAGACCAGGGACTTATGTGAGGATCCTGTTACAGTTCTACTCCGCCATCATTGAATCCGTCCTCTGCACTTCAATGACTGTCTGGTTTAGCTCAGCTACCAAATCTGACCTCAGAAGACTACGTCGGATAGTCCGGACTGCTGAGCGAATCATTGGTACAACCCTCCCTACTCTCCAAGAACTGTATTTATCCAGAGTGAGCAAAAGGGCTAGCAAAATCACTCTGGACCTCACATCCAGCACACTCCCTCTTTGAACTGTTGCCGTCTGGTCGACGCTACAGAGCACTGCGAACCAGAACGGCCAGACACAGGAACAGTTTCTTCCCTCAGACAATCCATCTTATGATCACTTGACAATAATTGTGGAACACACAACATTATTTATACACTTATATACTTATTTTTCTAACACACATACATAGTTTACATTTCGAATTTGCACATAATACACCTGTACATACAAAACTGTCTATTGTAATATACCTGTACATACAATTGTCAATCTGTATATTGTTATTCCCTATTTACTTGTTCTATTTTTATTCTTTTATTATCTGTGTT